CCTTCTGCCACTACAGATCGGATTAGCAGCATTCGGTAGAGTGCATCTAGAGCATCTATCTATCGGCAGTCGGTAAAACAAACGTCGTATACCGGGCCAGCTCAGAAGGCTCTCTTTTACTGCCGTCGAAATTGATGTGACTGAACCCCCATCATGGAACACCCTTGCGCCAACGAGCAGGAAACAACACCGTATTATGCAGTCTCCTCGACCTGTATATGCACTTTGATGCGCTCCAACGTCACACCGTTGGAAGTCTTCTCCCTCATTTCCTAATGCAGATACGAGCCCCACAGCCTGAGTGTCCCGCTACTGTATGGTAGCCGATAAATCACGCTGGCGAAGAGCGAGAAAAGCTTCCACGTTTTGCTTCGGCTGGACATCGGGCTACTCGGTAAAACCTCTCTTGTCTCTGCTCGCGGCAAAAGGGCTAGCCTCATGATTCAACCGGGATTTGAACCCGGGTTGGGCGCAAGATGCATTGGCTGATGGCAAGCACCCTACACTACTGAATCGATGGTGATGAGTGGGGGCCAGCCTTCATGGCGCATTCTTAGTATGCCCAGGTGGGCTCTCAGCTCACTACAGAAGCTTGTGTCTTGAGAAAAGTAACCAGTAACATTACTCCACTTGGCTTCTGCCAATTTAGCCTGTCATCTCAATGTGACATAAACTTTCATCCATCATCACTCGAATTCATCTTTGAATTCAAGACTGTGGATGAAGATCATCACTTGATGCATCCCAGGTCCCTAGATCTATAGAACGGGATCATAGAATCATAATAGAGTATTTTTCCCCACCATGTTAGCACATGGCAATTTTAGAATTTATCTTTGTTATAGAGAAAGTTACTTTACAAAGATGCTGTCGCCTCAAGCAAAGACAGCTAAATTGATACAAGAAATGAATCCCATTAAAGAAAAACACAAACAACTGCACCCAAAGAAACACCAAACCCCAAGCCATGATACCGACAATAGTAATACCATCTAAACTATTTTCCCCAACCCACCTCCTACTTCCTAACTCCCGCTCCTGTCACCCCACCCTGCTGTTCCCGCATCTGCGCCCTCGCCATCCGACTACCACCCAACTTCGGCCCCTTGGGACGTTTCTTATCCTCCTTCTTACTCGCCTTCGCCTTCGGATCCGCACCCCTCCTCCGTCTCTTGGACAAAATCGCATCTAAAAACTCCTTCCTAAACTTCTCAGCAATCTTATCATCCGCAGCACCTTGCTCATCCATATCCTCCTCCATATCGACATCCTCAGGATACAGATCCAGTCTGGTCTCCTTCAACACCTCCTCCACAAGCCTATCACGCTCAATATCTTGACTATTCCTCCGTCGTCTATTACGTCTATGTTTATCATCCATAGTCGACTGTTGCGACTCCACATTCCCCGACAGCGCCTGCGCTGTAAGCGCAATATTCCTTTGCTTCGCCTCCTCCCCCAAATCGACTTCGTGGAGCTTTCCGAGGGTGGCGCCACGGGCCTCGGGGCGCGTAGGCGCCCAGTAGGAGCTTTTCCCTTCTGTTGCGACGACCTCGGGTGTTGCGGCGGCGGCGGTGGTGGCGGTGTTTGTTGAGGAAGTAGCAGAGTTGGTGGCGGAGGGTACTTCTCCGCGACGCTTTGACATCTCGGATTCGACGTAGGCCATCATGTGTTTATCTACGTCTGCGATCTGGCCGGTTTGGCGGGTGAAACGGTTTACGACAGCGAGGGCTTCTGCCTCTGCAGCTGCGGCGCGCTCTTCGGCGGTTGTGGTGGTGGGGGGGGAGGAGGTGGTTGAGGGGGAGGCGGTGGGTTTTGTGGTTGTGACTTCGAGGCCGAAACGGCGTTGTGGGCGGCGTGGGCGGAGGATGGTGGTTGTTGGTGGTTCGGGGGTGTCAGCCGTGGAGGTGTTGGAGGATTCGGGGGAGGAAGGGGAGTCGGAGCGCCGGCGGCGGAATTGTGCAACTTTGCGCCGGCGGGGGAGGATAAATGTTGCGGGGAGCTCGGTGGTTGTAGACATTGTGTGTGTGGAGTTTGGGAATTGGCTTTGGTTTTGGAAGTTGGAGGATGTTGAGGTCGAGGTTGAGGTGGCGGCTTTGCTGTTAAAGGTGTGGCTTGGCCTCATCGGATGATGGCGCTCTAAAGTAAAGAGTCTTATCTGCAGCGAACGCTCTTGGATATTTTCTCTTTCAAAGACCACCAAAGATCAGCACCACCGTACCCCCCGTTTTCAATCCGATCTCAATTCCGAAAATCTGAAGATCGCATCTTGTCACAAAAACAAACGTCACAAAAAGATTACTTGCAAGATTTACCCGGCAATCTGAAAGAAATCTAGATTTATTTTTCTCCCCCACCTTTTTAGCTGTCTGGGAGCTTCCAGTTGCTCGAATAGACCATGTACCGTTCCATCATTCCGTCATGGTCAACTGTCTGCTCCACATGTCTGCGAAGACAGCTGATACAGCAACAACGCCGACAATTCGGCATTGCCCTCAGTAGCACCGTATCCAAGAATGCGTACAATCCTGTCCTACTCAGTACCCCAGGAGCAGCAACAGACGATAAAACGTTAAGGGAGATCTTGTCGGTGACCAGCAGCCCTCCCCCGCATTGCCACTGCAAGCGCTAACGTATCTTAACCGCTCAGTGACAATTCCGCCGCATGGAAGCAGTTCGCCTCAAAAGTCCAGAACCCCGCTACCCCACACACTGGCCTCTTCCACAATAAAGACCTCACCTCTCCAGCCGGAATCAAGCGGTATACGAACCGAACTCTTGACAAAGCAAAGCAGCTAGTGGAGAAGATATGCACTGCATCCACGCATGATGAGCTGGCAAGGGTGGTGCAGGACCTCGACAGATTGAGCGACCTGCTGTGCCGAGTAATCGACATGTCAGACTTTGTGCGCGCTACACATCCAAACCGGGCGATTGTTGCGGCAGCGCATGAAGCTTACGGTTCCATGTTCGAGTACATGCAGGTGCTCAACACCACGACCAAGTTGTACACTTCGCTCAAGCGGGCGCTGGAGGATCCTGAGGTTTTCAAGCGCCTCAATTTCGAGGAACGTGTGGTTGCAAACATTCTGTACGCTGATTTTGAAAGGTCCGGGATCAACCTGCCTGCGGATGTGCGGAAGCGTTGGGTGAAATCAATGAGTGAAATCTCGGAACTAGGATCTAAGTTCGTCAATGACATGCAGCCGGAGAAGGCGTTCCTGGAGTTTGAAAGCTGGAGGATGAAGGGCATGGATCCTGTGACTGCAAGAGGGCTCACGGATCGAGGAAAGACCCAGGTACCAACCACTGGCATGACTGCAAGCCACGTGCTCCGGACCGTTGAGGATCCCGAGGTCCGGAAGGAGATGTATCTAGCGAGCCACACCAGTTCCAGTCGGCAGATCGAGATACTAGAAAAGCTACTGAAGCAGCGGGCAGAGCTAGGTAGGTTGGTTGGATGCGATAGCTATGGACAGTACACATTGCAGGATAAGATGGCCAAAACACCAGAGTCGGTGATGCAATTCCTCCGCGAGCTCGCTTTTGCAAATCTCCCCGCTGCCCAAGCTGAGCTCGACCTGCTATCAAAACTCAAGCAAGGACAGCAACCCAATCGGTCTGACATACAGCTGGAACCATGGGATCGCGAATACTTTGCTAACAAACTGTCGTCCGCCATGCGTTTACGAACAAAATCTGAGCACTCCCTGCGCTCATATTTCTCGTTGGGGACCGTAATGCAGGGTCTCTCCCGCGTTTTCAACCGTCTCTACGGTATCCGCTTTATCCCCCGCGAGCCGTCCCCCGGCGAAACCTGGAACGAGGATGTCCGGCGGCTCGACGTGGTGTCAGAAACCGATGGCCACATCGCCGTAGTTTACTGCGACCTCTTTGAGCGGGTGGGAAAGAGTCCAAACCCCGCCCATTTCACCCTACGATGTTCCCGGCGGCTCTCAGAGGAAGAGATCGCCGAAGCCATGGTTAATGGCGAGCGCGTCGACGACGGAATGGCATCTGCTCGCCGCAGCAACGGGGACCTATACCAACTCCCCACCATCGCTCTGATCTGCGACTTCCCGCGCAGCCATGGCACATACTCACCGACACTCCTCAACTTCCACGAAGTGCAAACCCTCTTCCACGAGATGGGCCACGCCGTACACTCCATGCTCGGCCGCACCGCTCTCCACAACGTCGCCGGCACTCGGTGCGCAACTGACTGGGCAGAGCTTCCCTCAGTTCTGATGGAACATTTCGCAAAGGACCCGCACGTCCTCGCACTCTTCGCACGCCACTACCAAACCGACCAACCACTCCCGTTCCCGCTTCTACAGGAGCGTCTCCGTGTCGATTCGCACCAAGAAACATCAGACACACGACACCAGATCATACTTGCGCTTCTCGACCAAGTCTACAATTCGCACCTCCCACTAGAACCAGGCTTCTCATCAACCGCCGTGTACCGAGACGTCGAGAAGGAATTCTCGCTGCTGCCTCATGCGGAGGGAACGAGCTGGCAAGGTTTCTTCGGCCACCTATTTGGCTACGGGGCTACGTACTACGCATACCTATTTGATAGAGCGATTGCGGCGAGGATCTGGAAAGATGTGTTTGAGGCGGCTCCACTTGAGCGACAGAGCGGAGAGGTGTTTAAAGAGGAGGTGCTGAGGTGGGGCGGCGCAAGGGATGGATGGGCTTGTCTTGCGGGGGTTTTGAAGAGGCCCGAGCTTGAGGGGGGTGGAGAGAGTGCTATGAGGGAGGTGGGGAGGTGGGGGAGTGAGTTGAAGTAGAAAGTGTGTGCTCGCAGCTTGGACTACTTGTATAATATATACCTTTGGAATACGGCGGAATAGGTGTACCGCCATGTATATGTTATTTGGAGCTCTCCATTTCGTACCCTGCCACTCTATAAGCCATTATGGAATCCTCCACAGCAACTATCTCGCGGTGCTAAGCTCATGTTACAATAACCATCAAAAGAATATGGAACAAAAGTATGATTCAGCCGGGATTCGAACCCGGGTCGGGCGCAGGATGCTAATGATGGCAAGCGCCCATGATACCCCTACACTACTGAATCGTTAAAACTTTAATCCAATGTGCTTTTATCAGGCTATAGAAAATGGATGACCTAAAAGACGACATCCATAAACATATTTCTATCCACCCCCAATGCTTGATAATTGCAGCAAGATAAATACAGGCAAATGCTTTTCACCCATCTACTCTTCATCCTCATCCTCGTCATCATTATCACCGTCGTCATCTTCATCATCCGAAACCTCAGCCCCAAGTTCCTTTAACCATTTCTACATCGTCGGTTAGTAAACCCCGTCCCCAAAAAGAGAAATGAACATACCTTATCCTGCTTCCTCTTCTCCTCCAAGTCTCCCAGCACCATAAACAAGTCATCAAGTTCAGCCTGCACTTCGTCTGCCTTCTTCCGTGCTTCCTCCTTTTCACTTATCACTGCTGCAAGCTTCTCATCCACGCCCTTTACTTCCGCCTCCGCAAGCTGTTTCTGAAGGATGTCCAATTTCTTCTGCAATTTGTCCACGAGGGTAGTTTTAGATTCCAGCTCTGCCGTATATTCTTCATGTGCGGTCTGCAAATCCTGTGTGTGCTCTTTTGCTGCCGTCTCGATGGTCTTCGAAAGCTCTGCGATGCGTTGATCACGGGTTTCCACGTCCTGTGATACTTTCGTAAGTTGTGCTTCATTATCTGCGGCGGCCTTTTGAAGGTCGCCTTGTAACTCTGCAACTTTTGCCTCAAACTCCTTCCACCGTTCCTCTGCAATACGCCTTACCTCCTTCTCCCCTTCCGTCTCCTGTTGCAGTGCTACAAGATGACTCTCGTGTTCCTCAAGTTCACCCTGCAGCGCAACAATCCGCCCATCCCTCTCGGAGACAATGCCATTAGTTCTCTTGACTAACTCTTCAGCTTGTCGTCTCATGTTTTCCAACTTCTTTTCGCGGTCTTCCACCTCCTTCCCCAATTCTTCAATATGTCGTTTCAGTGCCGGCACCTCCTTGACTTGTTCCCTCAGCGCCTTCAACTGCATTTCCTTCTCTTCGATAAGCCTTCGGTTGCGTTGTGTCATTTCCTCGACGATGGAGCGAAGACGGTCTTCATTGCTCGCTTTATCAACGTCCGCCTTTTTCTGCAGCTTCTCGAGTTCATCTCGATTCTTCCGTGTTTCAGCGTTGAGTGCTTCGCGCGCACGCTTACTCGAGGATTGTGCGTTGGCTAGTTGCTGCTCCATTGTACGTCTCGCCTTTTCAATTTCGGCGAGTGCTGAGGAGTGTTGCTGCTCCATTGCTTCCCGCTCATTAAGTCTCTCCCTCTCGATCCTTTCTAATGTGGTAGAGTGTTGCTGTTCCATTGCCTGACGCTCCCTTTCCCGCTCCCCTTCAATCCTCTCCAATATTTCTGCCTTCTCGCTCAACTGCGCTCTCAACGATTGCAGCTCCTCCAGGTTAACTCCGTTCGAAGTCTTCACCACTCCATTTCCGGAAACCCTGGTCTCAAGCTCGGGTGCTTTATCAATAGCCCTCATTACCGCTCCATAATTCTCTTTCAAAAACTCGATAAAAACTTGGTCGAAGTACACTTCCGGCAGTCCGTGTTTCCTTCTCCGGTGGCCAGGCATAAAGTCATCTTTCGATACTTCAAAGTCTCTAATCAACGGGTGGGAGCGCAGGAGCGTGATTTTATTAACGTAAAGATCCCGGGTCATCTGTGTAGCCAAAAGTTGATGTAGATGAGATCTCGTTACTGGGCTTTTCTGGTGCGAGAATTCGTAGAGGATACCCAAAAGAAACGTGGAGAGGCCTTGAACAATCGGATCCACACCGTTTTCTTTTACGGCGCTAACGAGAGTTTGGACGCTTGACGTTTCGCTCAAAAAGTCATCGACGGCATCGGAATCCTCATAAAGCCAGATACAAAGGAGCATCAAGTATCCGATGCAGATGCGGGGGTCGTACTGATGTTGAAGTGCGGTGATTAGGTTTGCAGATATCCCCTGAATGGCGGTGACTTCCTCTTCTCCTGCCTCAGCGTCGCCTTCCCGCATTTCGGTGGCCATGACTTTGGCACCTGTGTCGTTGAAGATAAGATGGATCAGGATCACGCTCGCAATCCAGACGCGGTAGGGGTCGCCACGAGATGCGCTATCGAGATTGAGGAGACAGCTGACAGCATTCGGGGACTCATCTCCCTCCGCATAGAGCTGGATGGCATGTTTCAGGAAGAATGTCCTCACTGGAGAGTTGCCATTGAAGTAGGCTTCCAAACACCGACATGCCGCGAGCCGTGCATCAAAGGAATGTATCGATGAGTCCCATAACGCCAGATCCAATAGTGCTTCAATCACGCCACAATGTGCCTCGCCATTCTCCTCCTCCGCGTCCTCCCCATTACTCTGCGGTTGCAAATGCGGAAGCGCAACCTGAATCTGTGCAAAAGAGTGCTGAAGCGACTCATTGCCATCAATCAAATCCGCAATAGCCTTCAGCGCCTCCGCCCTAACCGTCATCTCGCACGAAGACAAGAAAGCAACGGTAATGACCAAATGCAGCAACCCCGCAGCGACCAAAGCATTTTGATTCGTGGCCGTTCCCAACCCGCCCGGAACAACAAATAGTCGCACTAGCCTCAATGCATACTGTATATTTGTGTCTCTCTGTTCCTTGGCAAACGGCGGTACTTCGTCCTCACTCAAAGTGAGTAGCTTCGCAAGCTTCGAAACACACCCCGTCTCCCGAAAGTAATTCTGATTTGAAACATTGAATGATAGCAGGTTCGATAGCAGCTGTAAGCAGTCCTGTACCACTATCCCACCGTCCACCCCACCTTCCATATCAATGATCGAAAACACCTGGTCAAGCGTGCCCTGAAACGTAATGAGCTTCTGGATATCAGTATGACCGGCCGAGAGGTGTATTATCAATAGGACCGCCTCTAACTGATCAGCTCTAAATTCCACAAGCCGTAGGGGAACTAACCACCTACCATTCCTTATAGCGTCCCTCTTATCATCCAGTATAGAAACTAGCCTCGTAACTCCTAAAGGTGCGGTAAAAACACATTCCTGGGTCCTGGCCGGGCGGTTCTGCGAGATAGCGGCAAGCAGTTGTATCGTGTAGAGGCGTATGTAGAAATCAGCATCTTCTAGCAGATCCAATAGAATCGTAATATTCTCTTGTTTCTTCACAACATTTATCAGCCTCTCTCTCTTCTGCATCAACCGGTGTACAGCACAGACCTGAGTAAACTCGTCCGTAAGCCACAGCGCAATATCCTCCGAGCTCTCCGGCTATCACTCCTTCCCCGTCAGCATTCCTCCCCGCCCGCAAAACCCGCGCGGGTACGCACATTGGCCTCATCCCTCACAAATAGCGTCAACAGGGTCTCGAGCACTGCCTTAGCTGTATCCAGATCCTCTCGATCCCTTGACAATGTCGCAATAAGCTCCCGTAGTCCCTCGCTAGCCACGAGCTCTTGGTAATCTCTCGCAAAGCTTCTCAGCCCCAAGATCGCAGCTCGACGGTCTTCCAGCAACGTGGCAGATGATAGTCGTAAACATAGAGTTTGGATTGTGGAAGCTGCATCTTGTTTCGGGGGTGCCTGTGCACCTTGGAGGAGGCCGGAAATGAGGGACATTGAGAATAGTGGTTCCGTCCAACGGTTGAATTATGAGTACATATGCTAGGACCAAAAGCAGAGAAGCGTAAAAGGAACCGGGACAACCGTAGAGTTAATGCTGTGGATGATAGTTCCAATTGGTGAGAGCCTCAATCACAACATCGCACACGTGGCAACTTCACCCTTGCCTTGACCCCTACTCAACGAACCTTTGAGCATAACAGCGGAGCTAGAAAAGACAGTATTGCGCAACAAGCTCCATATCATAGCTTCTCACTCGGGCGTCTTTTATACCCAACACGTATCTACAGCTTACAGGCATGCATCCATGATGTTCTGCAACACAGATTGGTTCGCACCTAGTACCCACGCCTACTATGTATTCTTCAACTTTATCTTCGCCACAATCTCCCAAGCCAACAGCTCTGCATAGCAACCATTTTTACCCTAAGCGCTCAATGAGAAGGGAAAAAATTTAAAGGGTTTAAATTTAAAACAAACAAACGAAGAGAAAAGGATACGGTAAGGATAAACAGCTCCAATGATATCGATGGCTGGCTTTTGATAGGCACAGAAGCAATCCTACTGGTTTCAATGATAACGACTTTGTTCCCAATCCTACAACCCTCCTCACGGCAAAAACCCTTCTACAGTATCTGCCCAGGAGTCAACCCCCCTCAGCTGCCGGGAGCCATCTAAAACGTCTCCAAGTCGCCGTCCTGTGCATCGGGTATCACAAATCCATCCTGTTACAATACGGTTAGCTACAATATACACAAATATTGGGACGAGGTATTACCTCAGTGGAATACAAAATATGTTGGATGGATGGGACGAGTCCGGCCTCGTCCTGCTCCAGCTCTGGCTGCTCATCTATCGCCGTCTGAACCAACAACTCGATATCCCGCAATTTGCTGAAGTAGAAGTCCCTCTCCTTCTCCAAGCCGGCAACGCTCTCCTTCAGCTGTGCAATTTCCTGCTGAAGAACAGCGGAGCCACCCCCGAGAGGTGTCCTGGTCCGAGCGCCTGCCCCACCGACAGTAGGAGTAGTTCCTCGCTTTGAGGCACCGGTATTGACGCTACTACGGATAGGCTCCTTGGGCTGGCCGCCAACCACACCGGGCTGCCCCTTTCTGCGGGCCAACGCATCATAATCGCCGCCGGGATAGTTCTGGTCCCAGAACCGTTTTGTCCATTGCAAAAACTCCAGATTGTCCTGCATTTTACATTTGACCAGCCTCTCGATGTGGATGGGTCTATCGATATTTTTCTGGGCGAAATATACTTAAAAAAATACTGTGTCAGTCGGGGCACAACCTAAGGTGGAAATGGGACTGGGTTGTAAAATATACCTGTAAGGACCTTGAAGTTGTTAATGTATTCATATTCTGAACGCGCATTGAACTTGATCTTATGCATTGGTACATCCCCTAC